AACTGGTTTTAGAATAAACGTGTTTATTTCCGATGCAAAGACCCAACGAGTGAATCAATATTAATACCAAACTGTGCCATCTTTAATGACATGACAACAGTATCGTAACTATATCCCTTATGAATAAGTCTGTTTAAAAGTTTAGTTAGCTTTTGAGGTGAATGCCGACATTTTTGTGCTTTGTAAAGAATATTACCATAAAAGATTGGGTGTGAAATACCTGAACGTATAAGATGTCTGCATGTTGATTTATATTTACGAAAGATGTCCTTGTACCGATGATAAAATTTAGTAAATATATTGACTAGTTTGTGATATCGAAAACCTTGGTGTAATAATTTTTCAGTAATACAGAGATTTCTTTCGTTAACAGCATATTGATCACCGTTGATGAACTACACGGGCACTATTTGATCACGTGAAATTCACGTGAAAAAAATATACGTGAAATTCTCTTCAAACGAGCTTATACGTGAAAATCACGTGAAAATTTTTGTGAATTGAGATTCACATAAATCTGACGTGAAATTTGTTACATGAATTTCACGTAAACTTTACAAAAATGGTATTTTTCATGATTTTAATTAAATTTTAAAATTCGGGTGAATAAAAATTCCTGTGATTTTCAAGTGTAATTCACGTGCGTTTCACATGAGATCCACATGTAACTCAATTCACGTGAGTGAAATTTCCCTGTGTTGTTAGAAAACTGTCTACCGGGACCCTTTCGCAACCTTTTCCTTTGGGAATTATCTTCCTGTGCACTGTTTTCTTGTTAATACTCCTCCAGACCTTCTGACAATAAAAGTTATCGATTTAAGAAACTTGTTAAATGTTAGTTTCTACACAGGGACGATCCGTTAAATGTTGATCTTAAAACTGAGGTCATGTTTCAGGGGTCAATTTGACGTTTTAAATTTGACCTTTGCTGGTTATTGCTTAAGAGATATAAGAGATATAAAAAAAAAATGGAGTAAAAAAGTTTTGGACATTATTAAGAAGATTTGAAACATTTAGCTCAAACCAATCCGGTGACATTTACAGGAGTTAGTTCCTCTAAAATACTTAAATTTATGATTTATAGGTTATTGTTTTTAAAATACTGAAAAATGAAAAAGCCATAGAGTCTTTTACATTAGTGTAGAGACATGTGACCTTGATAAAGCGGAAAGACCTTCAATTGTCTTCTCAGCCATTGGTTTTTAATTGTCTATATTTTTTTTTATCACCGAAATACTTACAAACATTCAATGGATTAAAAAATATATCTTAACCCTTTTCATACGATCTACAGTCCATCTGGTACGAAATATACTAGTATATACCAGCTCTAACTAACAAAGAGATTTGTACGCTAATGTGAACTAAACATAAAGGGTGCGAGATTTCAACAGTGACATACATCTCCGTGTCATACAAGACACATAACTTATTACACGCCCACAACACAAGAGTAATTGTATTTGGAAATATAAGTATAGTAACGGAAATGAACTTCATATTTGAAGTTTCATGTTTTTAAGACTTCAAAAATTTATCATTGTATTGTGCTTGACGACAGATGTTTGCAGTCGTATGAAAACATTGGTTAGTTGTAGTCGTCCTCGGTGTCGTTCTCCTTGAATATTCGTGTGTGGACAAACAATTTCCACATTCTATCTAGTAATAGCTGACCGATTCTATTGAAAATTTAACTCAATGTTTTCTTATATAAAACTGGAAAAGGAATTTAAAAAAAACAGAAGCATGTCACAGATTGATGCACTTTCAAAGTTTTTCAAGATACAAAGGATCCAAAAATTTCAATCGGGTTTAGTCCGATTTCCTATCGATAATTTTTTGTAATGTTTCTTTTTTTTTTGCATGTGTTTGTGATATTTTCATGAATACCTGATTGAAAATGTTGCCTTTATTTCCAATCTTGTGTTGGATCTATAGCTACAAGGACTGGAAATAGCATTTTGCATGGTACATTCTCTAATTGGTATGCGATTTTGTTTCATTTTAATTTGACAAGTAGTTTCCGTAATGTGTCAACGGATTAAGGTTTCCAAACTATAAGGGGTTTAACTAGGGTTATCTCCAACATTTGAACGCCTTTACATTTTTGGCTGCGGACTTCCTAGAAAGTCCTCTTCAAACTCACTGCTTTGTTAGATATATATTTTGATGGCCCTTACACATCCTGTTACTTAGTTATAAAAGACCAAAGGTTCGAGAATAGCACGTATACAAAAAAAAATGAAGATGGAACATAGAAATATGAATTTTAAATTCATCTAGGATGGGATAATTTTCTAAGAATACTAGTAATCTTGATACCAGCTTTCATAAGTACTGTAACAAATTACGCATATAGTTCGCGAGCTATAAAGGACAACGGGACCAAAATAGCATATAGTACATAGAATCAACGCATTGTCAAGAACAATTACTATATATATTGACCAACTATTAGTGGTGGTCTGTTTGCTGTATATACGCAGCCACGTCCGCTTAGAATGAGAACGTAAAGTACGATGCTGCCTAAAGGGAGACGTAAAGTACGATGCTGCCTAAAGGGAGACGTAAAGTACGATGCTGCCTAAAGGGAGACGTAAAGTACGATGCTGCTTAAAGGGAGATGTAAAGTACGATGCTGCCTAAAGGGAGACGTAAAGTACGATGCTGCCTAAAGGGAGACTACCATGCATTTTCTCTGCACATTTAAGCCTTGTATAACAACTCTTTAAGCGATCAGTAGATTGCTTTTTTCCAGCCAAAATGTCTGTCTCTATCTTACATCCAGCGAAATATGTCGTCTAAATTTCCATTATGCCACCTACATTACATAACTTTCTATTTGGATTTAGAGTTTGTTTGTTCTCGTCCTGAATATGCATGAAATATTTGCCACTGGAGAATAGGCAAACAATCATCTATCAATCAATCTAATTCTTGAATTTAAAAGAGAATAACGAAAAAGAAAAACACTGAAATGGCTAGGCACACAATATATAATACCTCCCTTTGAGGTGCAGCTGTAATGCTTGTTAGATTTTCTCAACTTGCGAAAATCAATAGTTTTGATCACTCATGTAATTATTAGTGTCCATCTAAGGGATTAACCATAAGTAAATTTTACGACAATGAATACTTTGTACATAATATCTGACCTTATTTCGAGTATTTGAATTATTTGGAGAAATTATTAAGTAATATTTTAGATTTTTCTTAAACATGTTTTTATTTCTAATGGATTTTATCATGCATGAGAATAGAAAGATATATACTATTTCCTTTAAATATTAGGTCAAATTATAAAATAACTATTTGATGTTTAAAAATCCTATTTGAACACGTTTTTACTAGTAATTTGACTCGTATACAGTAAGACGTGGATTCTTTCGGGATAGATATATAGAACTTTGCTCGAAACTTCGAATCAAAACGTAAATAAAAAATAGTCTTAAAATAAAAAAAAAAGGATATTTGGTGAATTAAAACAGAAGCATACTTACAGGAGGGTCTGGATAGGGGGTCCTTCATTTCTTTACTCTAAACTTTTTAGACCACTTTTCTCTATTCTTTATTTATTTTGCCCAATATTCTCTTTTCTTTACAATTTAGTACCCATTGTTTTTTCCCTATTTGTTTCTCTATTCTTTATTTTTTTGTCCATTATTTTCCATTCTGTAAATTCAATCCACACCATCATACAAGTTAGGTACATCATTGGTTAGAATATTAACACGTACATAATTGAAACAAGATTCTAGAATCTTCTTTGCTAAATACGATTTCCCAAAAAAATGCTATTTTGAAGTCTTTCCCGAATATAGTAAAAATATCGAGAGGACGAAAAGTATATATGTGTAAATTTACAACCAAATGAAATGTACTTACTGCTATGTATTCAAAAGGGTTCATCTACTTACTGCTATACAGTCAATATATTCAAAAGGATTCATCCCGTAGTTGGTTTAATTCTGTAACTTAAAATGATGTTCGTAGTATATTATGCAACATTAAGTATAAATGAAAAGAGACAAGGTCGTTACATATATGAGAGAGCAAAACTTAACAATATATCAAACGAAACGGACGTGGTCAAATGGTGGATTTACAGCTCATTTTAGCATGTTATGTTGTTGTTGGGGTGGGGGCGAGGGGTCTTTTATTTTTAAGTTTAGTCTCGCCAATGTATTATTCATATTAAGAACAGATAGGCGGATCATATTTATTTACATATTTTGAATAAATCTATTTATGTAACGGATTATTTTTGTCACTTATACTGCGATTAAACTTATTGAAATTTTAAATATCTGACTATGTCACTTTATATGACGGAGTTGACCTGAAATTGAAAGATTTTTGTTTGTTTTCCGACCCTCGACGACGGCCAAATATTTATTAGGATGTTCAATGCTCGTGGTTTTAAGTCACATGAAGAGACCTTTTTCGTTTCACAAAGAAGAGCAATTTTAAAGTAATAAATAAACTTAAAAGTATATGGAAATGGGATAGCAACTATAAAAGTTTAGTTGCTAGAATTAAATCCTTTATACGTGTTACCTATATCAATAATATTTGACAGTTGTGAACAGTTGTGGGATATCATGTCAACTCTCGCTGACCGTTTCCAACATTTTATATTTCCTGTACTATTATAGTACTTTTTATTGACAATTTGAGTACAAAATGAATCATTTTAGAAAAGTAAAAAAAGAATAAACCAAATATAACCAAGTTTTTTGATTAATTACATGATTGGTGTAGAATGTTATTTAATAATTCTCAAACAATCATTTTGTATTTTTACTCCCACAACATTAACATTTATTACGAATATTCAACGAATTGTCTTGTGTAAACACCGATTAATATTCTTTATAGATTAGTAATACCAATGCCACTTTAAATGTTGTAAAATCGTAAAGTTGATTATTAATCGTTTTGATGTTGAATAACCCTCCGTAATATAAATAATATGAAGCAGACATGCGCAACCACGTGATTCAATGCACGTTGAATACACAAAGTCAAAAATAGATTATCAATAACAGTTGACGAGTAGTGTATTGGTGAACGGTCTATTATTTTTGTGGTAGTGATTTTACCGTTAGTAATTAATGGTCGTTGGATTTAAAAAAATAACTGTTATATAAGACATTTTTTGTTCGTTAAATATTTAATCGAATAAAGCTCAGATAAAAGGTAACCACGATTTTCACGAGAATGTCAGAACCCGAGCATGTAGACAGTAGTTCTGAAGTACTTCTTAGAGGAGGAACCAAACCTAATAATTTAAATAATTTTTCGAACGGTAGATCAACTGGTGCCATGGAAAAATATTCGTTAGACTATCAAAATTTGGAAATGGAATGTATAAGACTTCGGAAATACTTGTTTGGATTGACGGCAGTGGTTGTTGCCGGAGGGCTTATTTTAGTGGTCACAATTTCTGTACTTTTTGGAAAACTCAGCCATGATTTGGTCAATCATTCACATCAGCCAAAAGTGGGAGAACAAATCGCTAAAATTCTCGAAACAGAAGAACTGTGTGTTCCTTGTGACAGTGTTAGACTAGGGCCTTCAGAAGACGAAGATAGGATGCTGGACGCTTTTATTCGCAGAAGTAAACCCACCGGTGAAGAATGTTGTGTTGAAAAACCAAAACAACTCTTAGCTGTCTTAGAACTGGTAAGTTAAACATGTTGATTACGTATATCTTTTTTTTTCTGTCGCACTGCATGGCACCAGACAAGCGGTTCAGACAAAATTAGTATACAGTACATACAATACAATAAACAATATCATTCTATATTTCAAAGTGAAATCTATTTCGTATGTGTATATATTTACCCAGTTACATGTTTACCTATATACTTATTGGATATATTCATCATAAATGAAAAAAAGAAACCTAAGGCTTCGGAAATTCAAATGATATATTTTTGAAATATTTTATTATGACAATGTGTATATATTTGTAGTTCAGTGTACTTATTGTTTTCCATACATCCCTACTTGTACTAAATAATTTAATGATGACTGCTTGAACGGTAACTCACTTTTGACATTTTATGACAGTGTGTCTTCTTCAGGCACAATTATATCGCTGCTATAAATTCAGTGAAAAGTACACTCTGATAGTTAGTTTCTAAACGCATGGTTTTTTTTTTACTTGAGCTAAATAACCAGAGATATTTTCCAATTGTATGTAAATTAATACATTTCTATCCTCGCATCTGTCGCACGACTAAATATGTACATATTTGTGTGTTGCCTTTAGTCATTTACTGTTATTTAGTGTTTACCGACTTCCTTAACAGATTTTGTTGACCTGAAATTTTTATATTTGTGTATTGCCAAAATAAAGTGGTGATGTATATCAAAATTTTAATCTATTCAAAACATTAATTGTTAGAAGATTGGGACTACCTAGTGTACAGTTTAAAAGCTACCGACAAAGAAATATTTACCTTTAATTCAAATGTGTTGCAAGCATGAACGTGTAAAAACAACTTTATGATATTGTACAGAATAAATATGTGCTATTGATTTGAATGACAAAAAACTACTTTATGCAAGTTTTATGTTCCTTTAAATGTTCGAAAAAAAGACAAAGAATGTAACTAAATTGATTGAATGAAATTTGATATGTATGATTTTTGTATGTGTCTCTTCCTGTGATTCTTTTGTCCTTTTCTACACAAATTACGAAGATTTTCTTTTAATCTCGTTCTTTTCTTTTGTATTACCAACCTTAGCTAGCTGTCCCTTTTTGTGCATCCGTCAATTTATGCACAGAAAAGAAGAAATTTCCATTTTAGATTTCTCCGTAAATGTTTAAATCTCGTCATGCATTATCTTATTAACGAATTTGTGCTGATTTACACATGGGGGCAGCTGTTTGCGTTTCCAATACGCTACTTTTTTTCTTTCTTGATAGACCACCGGTGTTCCTAGGGTGTAATATTTCTGATCTAAATTTTCATGCATGTTTTAGTTTAGAAAAAAATGTGTCATATCAGAAAAAACTCAACGTTATTGTTAATAAAAAATTAAATTTCAACTACTTGTAAAAAGTAGGCTTCACAACTTATAATTATGTTTCTCACATCAAAAGTACAAAGTTAACCTATATAATTATATAAGGGAAATCATTTAGTACATTGCCCTATATATGTGTCCTATAATTTGATGGACATGCCTACATGATGATACATAGCGGACTAAGAAGTAACGGTATATATAATACGTATACAAGTAAGTAATCGTGTGGTAAAATGTACATCAGTGGGCTAAACAGTGTAGTTTTTTTACAGTCCAATGATGTCTTTCGTTATTTTCTTTTCATTTGGAATGTTCTGTCATAAAGTCTGTCAGGGTGGTTCAGACTTAGATAAATGATTAAAGGTTGGAGAATTAATCATGTAAAATGCAGTCTGTAGTTTTTGTTGATATGATTGATTTCCATTTGAAAGTATCACTTTCTGTATTCTGGAACTTTGTACCTTCCGGGGAAATGAGAAGTTATGACCCTTGCAGTCACTGTGGGAGAATGAACGGATATTATCTGGACTTTTGGAACATATTTGTTTTTAATAAAGTTAACTCCAACAGTTTTGACTCAAGTCCAATTAGTGATATTCCAGATTTCAACTTGAATTCATGATCAAGGCATATTAAAGTTTTGAAAGATGGATATTTTTAAACTTGACTATGAGAAAACATGGAAATGAGGAATAAGGTTTTTTTTTATATGTGCAGTGTAGTCTTCGTTTCTTATCAGGTCTTCCTCAGATTTACTTTCATTACCTAAACATTGGAAGTGTTTAATTATCAAAATTCAGAATTGAGGATTGTTATTATTCTAAATGCATGTAAAATGTCCCTATATTTTTGTTTTAGTTTCTTGATTTGGAATTCAACGGGCGTTCGAAACGCCCCCTTTACACACATCCATGCAATTTATTTTCGGTCATTTTTTAAAGACAGTAAAAACGTTAAATATTGATTAAGTTACCTGTAAAGTAAGGAAAATTAACTTTTCGTGGAATATACTAAATGACATAATCCTTTGTCCTTTTTTTCATTTTTATTTTTATTTTAAGGGCTTCATTCTTTTACACTTGAACCCTTTTAGCTGTGTAGGAAATGTACAGGATCCGTATCAAAGTATGGTCAGAATGCGGACAACGATACTATGCCTCGAGTAGGGAGCTTATCAAGTTCTATGCACAGTAATGAACCGCGCTCTATATATGTGCATTAATGAGTGTTGAAACAACTGTCGGAGTGGTTCGTATATGACCAGTTGAAAGAAAACTGTATTCCCATATATTTAACATTGACTCTTTTCCGTTGGCATTCCAAATTCCCCACCCATCATCCTGGGTCTATCCACTTTGCAGAACAGACCTTTTTGAATTTTTTGTATGCTTGTGAACGTCCTGAATATGCATAAAATACTTGCCACTAGACGTTAAGTAAACACCAATCAATCAAGCAAGCAAGCAAGCATATTTTTAAAATAACATTAATTTCTTTATGAGTTATTTTTACTAAGTTAACGTAGTACTGTTAATATTCTTATTTATCATGTCAGATTATGCATATGGATGTAAGAAGTTATAGTTTAACGAGACACCAACCTAACGACAACAAAAAAGATATGTCATTAGAGGTTTATGGTCGTCAGTATTAGACAAAATTCTACAGTTAAAAAATAGTTTGAACTTTTCCTATTTTTCATTTTTTTGTAAATGTCTTATGACTTTCGCCTTCATAACTTAATTAAAAGTTCTGTTTATTTCTTAAAACAAATACATTTATTGATTAGACTGAGTCGAAACTCTACATTGGTTGGCTCTGTCAACGCTTTCGAATAACTGTGAATATGCTTTTAAGCCTTTAGTAAGTTAGACATTTTTATTGTCTTGTGTTTTATTTAAAAGGATTCATGACATAAGATGCCCCTTTGTTTTTGACGTAATGTTTTTTTTTTCTCTCGAAAGGACAAAGTATTACAAGATCCAAAATTACCACATTCATCAATTTTTATTTCAATATCTTCTGCTTACTGCATGTATTGTCTCCCGCTGACATCTACAAACACCAGTTTAAAAAATAAGTTGGAGATACTTGAATGTCAAGTTTTATCTGAACGAAGTCACGTACTTTTCAAAGATAAACAATCTATTAAAAAATGAATGTATTGTAAATGGACGGTTCTTCTAAGAGAACAGACTTGCAATTTTTTTTTTGTATCATTTCATCTCACAATAGGCAGGGTTTATCCCAATCGAAATGTAAAAACCGACTATACAAAATTAACTCAACAATAATATGAAGGATGGAGTGAGTTGTGGGATAAATAGCAGGGAGACAGCTATCTAACAACACAATTTGTCAAAACAGACACATACAAGAATTTACCATTTTGAAGTATTTGCTACAACAGTATTGAAGAACTGTGGAGTAAATTCACTTTTTGAAAAGTAGAATTCATTTATTTTCATTAAAAAACAAATAAAAAAATAAACGTGGAAAACCCTATCGACCTTACATAACGTTGCAGTTAACCGTTTTCAATAGTGCCAGTCAGAATTCCCTTCATTATTCTTCCCCGTGGTTTGACAGAAGCAAATTGCCATCAAATAATACGCTTCGTTAACAAATAGATAATCAATGGAATCGTTTCTGGTAGCGTCAGTCAACATATATGTGATTGGAAATGATCGAATATTCCAACAAAGAAACGCAGATTTCTATTTAAACATAAAAATTGATTGATGATCAAATCATGTTGTTTTACCAGTGGAGTCAAGAGAATTCTACCTCACATGATAGACGTTAAAAACAAAGAGACCATTAAAACCATTGTATCCTGGTCAGAAAAGTCGATTTACTTCCATCATTGAATCACAGAAACATTCAATACATGAACCAAAGTTTTAAAATGGAGATTTAGCTTTTTACACTTATTCTTCATTTACAAACACGTCTGATATCGAGCATACGGTTAATTAAACAGAATTGGTTTAGAAAAGTAATCAAAGTTTAATTGAATTTTTGTGTATTGACTGCGTGTGAAGTTTATTAAAATATCTCCGCTTGATATGAAAGGAAATTGGTATATTCAACTTAAAGTAAATTACGCCACAAGTTTTCTACGTTTTTTATACTATTCATGTTTTTTAAATTAGGTTCTGATATAAAGAGTGTCAGAATGAGCTTCTGAAAGTTTAAAATGTACCAGAAAGATGTATAAGTATGTTGCCACTGGTAATGCTTTGTTGGAAGTTTTGGCATAAAAAGAATTTTGGACTCGCGTAGATTGAGAAAGTTGACTATGTTCCCAGTTCTTTGTTCTGAAAAAAAAATACACACTTTCTTATGCAGAGAATGGAGATAATCACAATTTTAAAATTTCAAAACTTTAAAAAAAGAATTCCATGCGGTTCAGTATAAACCATTTTGATTTTTATCTATTCGACATATGATGTCAATACTATATGTAACGTTTTTATGAGAGCTACAAGCTGTGCTGATGTGAAGACAAATGAAGCGAATCAAACTCTAAATAAATGCATTAGCTTACAAACTAGATTGAAGACGGCTTTGATATTAACTATAAGATGTGTGTGACATTTGTTGATTTAAATTTATTTTGAAGTTTTATCTTTCGACATGTC